CACTATAGATTGTTACAGTGTTTCTCCACATGATTTTTTATGATTTTTTTGTTTATTTTTAAAATTGACTTTATCGATTTAATATTTTTAATATTGAACTGGTTGAGAATTACAATTGCAGATTTTCTTATGAAATACTATAGATTGCTACAATATTTTTCTGCATGTTTTTTTTTTTTGCTTTTGTTTTTGTTAATTTTTTTTTCATATTGAGTTGGTTGAGAATTTAGCTTCATAGTATTTTTCTTTAAAATACTGTTTATTGCTTTTGTTTTTGTTAATTTTATTTTTTTTCATATTGAGTTGGTCGAGAATTTACCTTCATAGTATTTTTCTTTAAAACATTATTTATTTCTATAATGTTTCCATGCATAGTTTTTTTTGTTATGTTTTTTTTTTAATTTTCTTTATTCATTTTATTTTTTAAATAATAAGCTTATTGATAATTTAATTTTATAATTTTTTAGTTGAAAACATTGTGGGTTATAATAGTTTTTTCTTCATATTTTTTTTTTATTTTTTTTCACAAACTCACAATAATGTATGAGTATACCACAAACTCGTGGTATTGTGTAGGTATGATATCTAGTTATATAACTAATGGTTGTGTAAAAAATCAAAAATATTTCTAAAATTAGGGTTTGTGATTTTTTTAAGATAAAAATATCATTTCATTGTGATTAAAAAATTATATATTTATAGGTATAAAGGATTTTTAAGTTTTTTTTATATATTTTTTGATTTTTTTATATATACTGAGGACGCTTCACAATACGAAATCATTTTTGTTACAACACCTGTGCATCGGGACATGTATAGAAATTGGTGAATTCTTTTGTTCAAATGATTCTTTATTATTATCATTATTATCGCTCTAATTTATCAAAAGGAGTGGTGAAATTTTAGAGTCCTCGTCTCCATAGCAGTAAAGGGATTTAATGTAATTAATTGGCGAATTAGTTCGACTAAAATTCAAAGGCCACAAGGGTGAACATTTCTAGTGTGGTTTGGTTTTAAATTAAAAAATAATTAAATTAAATTATTTTTTTAAATTTAAATATAAATCAATTTAAAATTAATTTAAATCGACTAATTTTAATCTAGATCAATCTTAGTTTGGCATGGTTTAAAGGTGAGAAAAAATAAACTTTAGTAGCTTTTTTAATTTGGTTTTAATTGATTTGACTTGTTTTAATTTTTTAGAGTTGAAATCAAACTAAAATGTTTTTTTTTTTGTAAATTGGATTTTATTTACAATTTGATTTTTTCAATTAAATTTATTTAGAAGTTTTTAATGTTTTTTTTCTATTTTTTCGTTTTTTTTTTGCTTTTTTGGAATGTTTTTTGTTGATCTTATTTCTTTTTAATATAGAGCTGATTGAGAATTTAGTTTTGTAGTATTGTTTTAAAAAAAAAAGACTATAGATTGTTACAGTGTTTCTCCACATGATTTTTTATGATTTTTTTGTTTATTTTTAAAATTGACTTTATCGATTTAATATTTTTAATATTGAACTGGTTGAGAATTACAATTGCAGATTTTCTTATGAAATACTATAGATTGCTACAATATTTTTCTGCATGTTTTTTTTTTTTGCTTTTGTTTTTGTTAATTTTTTTTTCATATTGAGTTGGTTGAGAATTTAGCTTCATAGTATTTTTCTTTAAAATACTGTTTATTGCTTTTGTTTTTGTTAATTTTATTTTTTTTCATATTGAGTTGGTCGAGAATTTACCTTCATAGTATTTTTCTTTAAAACATTATTTATTTCTATAATGTTTCCATGCATAGTTTTTTTTGTTATGTTTTTTTTTTAATTTTCTTTATTCATTTTATTTTTTAAATAATAAGCTTATTGATAATTTAATTTTATAATTTTTTAGTTGAAAACATTGTGGGTTATAATAGTTTTTTCTTCATATTTTTTTTTTATTTTTTTTCACAAACTCACAATAATGTATGAGTATACCACAAACTCGTGGTATTGTGTAGGTATGATATCTAGTTATATAACTAATGGTTGTGTAAAAAATCAAAAATATTTCTAAAATTAGGGTTTGTGATTTTTTTAAGATAAAAATATCATTTCATTGTGATTAAAAAATTATATATTTATAGGTATAAAGGATTTTTAAGTTTTTTTATATATATTTTTTGATTTTTTTATATATACTGAGGACGCTTCACAATACGAAATCATTTTTGTTACAACACCGTGCATTGGGACATGCATAGAAATTGACAAATTCTTTTGTTCAAATGATTCTTTATTATTATCATTATCATCGCTATGATCTATCAAAAGGAGTGGTGAAATTTTAGAGTCCTCGTCTCCATAGCAGTAAAGGGATTTAATGTAATTAATTGGCGAATTAGTTCGACTAAAATTCAAAGGCCACAAGGGTGAACATTTCTAGTGTAGTTTGGTTTTAAATTAAAAAATAATTAAATTAAATTATTTTTTTAATTTAAATATAAATCAATCTAAAATTAATTTAAATCGATCAATTTTAATCTAGATCAATCTTAGTTTGGCATGTTCTAAAAGTGAGCAAATAAAACTTTAATAGCTTTTTTAATTTGATTTTAATTGATTTGACTTGTTTTAATTTTTTAGAGTTGAAATCAAACTAAAATGTTTTTTTTTTTTTGTAAATTGGATTTTATTTACAATTTTATTTTTTCAATTAAATTTATTTAGAAGTTTTTTATTTTTTTTTCCTCGCCTCTGGCCACGGGTTTGGAAGCACGATGATATTTTGAATAGTTAACAGAAAAGGCAAGATCGCTATTGAAATTAATGATGTCCCCTTCAAATGGACCAATATGTGGCTACCATGGACCGCTGCCTGGCTTTGATATTTTTATTCAGAAACGGGCCTGGATTTATTGGAGGCAAAATTTTCAAGAGGCGGGAAATGGACGTCTCAGAAAATGGTGGTAGCATCATGATGGTTTTAATTTAAATGGTCGGGTTGCAGGCCACATACACAGTCGATTTTATGTATGCCATCCATATAGCTCGAAGAAAAAGATTTAATATGAATTATCTCGACGTTATTCTTCATCATTTACCAAGTAATAATTATTTTATACAAATATCTGCACTATTAATGTTATATATATATATATATATATATAATAAAGGATATCACTTTTCGAAAAACATAAGATTAGAAAGTAAAAAACAAAAGAGAATAAAATGCCTTGACCATAAAATCAATTCCCATGAATTTGATACCTTTTGATTTGCATATCACATGCATATTCAGTATTTTTAGCAATAGATCTTGCAAAAAAAATATAAGAAAATAATTGAATCTTTTTTAGTAAAGTATAAAATATATATATATATATTCCCCCTTATGCAGCTACCCACATGGGAAGAATGTATTATTAAAATTAAAATACAAGGACCTAAAGTTTACATCAATACCAAAGAAATCATTGAATTGCAAGACATTTAAGAGTTCTTAGTTTGGGAGTATAAAAGGGCATTCCACTCATTAAATATTCTAAAATTCATTCCAAGTATTCTTAATCTATTCTTAGCTTGACTAACCACGACCCTGAAAAAAAAAAAACGAGAGAAAAAGTTGTCACTTAATTTAATTTTGTTTTTTTATTGTGATTTTAGTTCATATTCTAATTACAAAAAAGTCAAAATATAGTGGGTGGATCGATCATTGCTTGATTTTAGATTTGTAAAATATAATTAGACCCGTGGTTAGGGTTTTGTCGGTAAACTTCTTTGACCTGATACGAGGAAAGAAACTACTTCCTGTGATTACCAACCTAGACAAAACCGCTCACCAGCTGCTTCAACTTGACAAGCCTTGTAAATTAATTTAGTGATCCAATAGCACCATCTATTATTATAATATATGATATATAATATTCGTAATAATATTATTGAACAACCTATTAAATTCCTCCACCATAAAAAACAATAAATAAATAACATGATAAAAATTTAAAACAAAATTTTTTTGCTTTTTATATGGTTTTAGGTTAAGTTCTGCTACTGTTAATATTAATAATTATTAAAAATTAAAATTTATAAAAATAAATTAAAATATATACAAGTGGATTCAAATAACTCACATAATTTTTTTTTTTTAAAATTGAAGTGGGAATTTATTGACGTTAATTTTCCTTTTTTAAAAAGTGAAGTGGGAATTTATTGACGTTAATTTTCATTTGAAAATATTACACACTAAATTAAATAAAAGACATTTAATGGATAAAAAAAGAAAAAGTATATTAAAGAAACACCACACCATATAAAAAAATGGAAATGACACATCAATGATCCTACATCTTATCCAGATTGAATGCATTACTCTCGGCAGGAATCAAGCCGTCTCCTTCACATGAAATTTTCTACTCTCACGCAAAGCCTTATCCAGATCATCAAAACCGACCCTTGAACAGCCCAAAACTGTTCCCTGGGTTAACTTACATCTGTCAATATCAATCCCTGACACATTCTTCACGCTAGTCCAGCTGCACGCGCCACTGCCATCTCCGCTAATCTCACACATGATGATGGCTCCTCCAACACTGTTTATGTAAACGTATACAAGATCATCCATCAAACTCACACCTATAGAGGATGGCGTCGGCATACCAAAGCATATCATATTCTCAGCATCATCTTCACTGCTAATAACCTTCATTCTCTCTACCAGCTGCTTTGGCATCTCTCCAATCTCTCTGAAAACCTCTAATGACTCCCCATCCACCTCCCACAGTTTTATGCTTTTGATATCATCTCCAATTATACCAACAAAAATCAGACGGTCATGGTTGGCAAATCCAATAAAGCAGTGGGAAATAGTACTTGTTGTCTGAGGGCGCAGACGGTAGGGTCCTTGCCATGCCTTGATGCTGGGATCGAAGGAGTAAGCCACCCCCGTGCTTTTCTCCACAACATACATCTTGTTTTTGTTGGAGTTCACTGCAATGGAGAGCCAGGCGGAGGAAGCTGATTCCCTTAGTATCGCAGGCATGGACTCGCACATTTCCCACTTGCAAGTCTCCAGGTCATACATTTCGACTGCTAAAGGGTCGTCCTCGAAGTCGAAGGTTCCACCGGCGATGATGACACGTTTGCCAACCATCGCCACAATGGGGTCGATTCTCCATATAAGGGGGGCCTTGATGTGTTGCCAGGTGAGGTGGAGAGGATCATAAGACAAAGAAAAGCTGGAAGGTGAAAGCATGTAGAGGAGAGTGGAGTGAGATGATCGGAGGGCTGAGATGAACTTGATAGATGGCTCATGGATTTCGATCCAAACGTGTGAACGTGGGTCGTAAGCGTGTGCTGTTGTTGAGTGAGGAAACCTCGTGTTCTGGGTGTAGATTAGGAGCCATGGTTTGATTCTGTTGGGGCGGCGACTACCACCACCAGCTCCCTGCAGAGAAGTGGAAACTGCAAGTTTCCAGGACTTGGACACGTAACTCGCAGGAACGAGATCTACGAGAGGGACGTGGTTGAATATTGACTCCAAGATGTCTCCATGGATTTGATTTGAATCTTCTGGTGTTAGTAAATTATCCCCGGTAACCTCCATCGATCTCTTTCGAGGATGATAATAAACTACTGATAATATTATATTATTGGTGGCGCCGGAGTGCTTGCGGAGTTACAAGTTTTTGGTCTTGGTAAACCGCGGTTTTTCGTGTTTATATAGGGGCGAAAAGGTGCGAATTGCAGTGGATATGGCATAAATTTTTCTTTAATATAAAAATGAAAAAAAAAACCCATCAATTAATATTTTTTTTTCAATTAAAAAATTAAAATCTTAAAATCTTTAGTCAATCCTAATTAATGGTTTAAGTTCCAAATAAAAGTGAAGTAGGGCAACAAACTCATATAATTTGAAGCTATTTTTCTAAGTAATTTTTTATGAACTATTTTTTTTGTAGAATTACTTTTTTTTTCTTCTTTACATCTTATTTTTTTGACAACAAAAAAATTATTAATTGTAAAAAAATTATCACTACAGATTTTAGAAAAAAAATATTGATGATTGAAGAATATTAAAAATCCAAAAGAATCAAATTTATCAAATCATTCAATCTTTTTAAAACTAATTTTATTATTAAAACTAAAAAAAAGTATACAATTTACACACCTTTTGAAACTATCTAACTTTTTTCTTAAAATTTATTATAAAAACATAAAGCAAGAAACTATAAATATATTTATATTGGTCTTTTAAAAATAAAGTCTTTTATCAAAAAAAGTCTAAACACATTTATCTTTGCGGTCTTTAGAGATGTCAAGTTCCATAATTTTCAAAATTCATTATTAAGATTTATATTATTTAGTTTATATAATGGTTTTTTTTTTATTTGACTGTTATCTAAATTTTACTATCTCTCTTGGAAACAAAAAAAATACTATAAAGAATAATCCTACAAATAAAAATTTATAATTACAATATGATTAAAGGATCAATTATAGTAGCTTTGATATTTAAAATTCATTACAAAGCTATATTTTTTTCCTTTATCATAAATAATAAATTTTATAAAGATGAAACCTTATTTGTACAAACATTTCAAAATCAAACATAGTTGTACATTGAATCATCGAATAAAAAGATATAATCTTACCAGAAGACTAGATTCTTGAAGAAGCAATCTAACTTTAACCTTAACAACCCCTACAACCAAATGTTCGATTTAAACAAATAACCTAATGCAATGAAAAAAAAATTAAACTAACATTTCATAAACATGCAACTAGTTCTAGATTTTCATATGAATCCTCTTTATCCAATACTCTTAATTTAGAAAAAATCTTTAAGATACTCTTTATTATAAATATGTCTTACTATACAAACCCATATAGAAAATCAACTTATAATATTTCTAGTACCAGTTTCTAAAATGCAAATTATACTATAAATGTACCCTAGCTTTTATATACAAACTAGAAAATAATTGATCTTCTTTATCGACTTTTCAAACTAGAAAATAATTGATCGTCTTTAGTATAATAAAGAATATCCAAAATGAAATAAATGCTTTTTTGAAAGAATTTATCATCAATACAAAATATTTTGTTGATGATTTCTATAGTAACCATAACTCTGAAAAGTGATTTTAAAAAAAAAAATTCTAAAACAAAAACAAGAAATACAAAAAATAAAATTTTTTTTCTAAAACAAAAACAAGAAATACAAAAAAAATAATGATTTTGTTCAATTGGTTTCGCCAATCGTTGGACTATTTTGGTTTTTCATATGACCTTCTTCAACTCCATCCTATGGTAAAAAATTATTACACCTTCTTTAAATAAAATCACAAAGCCATAAAAAGAAAAAAAATATTTCCATCATTTCTCATTTTCTATTCAAAATTACTTGTTCATTGGGTTTGCTCATGGTACTTTGATTACAATACTCAACATGAATCCTCTATTCTCATTAGAAGATTCAAAATCAAGTGGTGAGATGCTTTTGCAGCAGAATTTAAAAGTTTAAACCTATAGTCTTATAATAGTTAATAGAAATTTAAAAGGATGAGATTAAGTACTTAAACCCATAATCTAAGTTCTTAGCCTAGAAATCTAATCCTTTATCCCTTCTTACTACAACAAAATCCAAACAACAACATTTAAAAATTATAAGGTAGCTTTTATAAAGTTTCTCCAAATCAAATGACTTTATTTTATCTTCATCTTTAGTATCCATAATCGATTTAGAAGATGAAAATAAAGATGATTGTTTTGGCATGCTCCCTGCTATACAATAACCCTAGGTACTTCTACTTGTGTACATATATGTATGTGTGTAGAAAAAAAAGGCCTAAGCAAAAAATATTCATAACCCATTTTTAATTTTGTTATCTTTTTATCATGCCTATCTTCTTAGTCCTTTATAGCAGGTCCATCTAGGCCCATCTTCTCCTAGCCCTTTATTTTTTCAGATCAAATATTTTTATCGACATAAAAAGATAAATTTACCCTCTATTTGCAAATAAAACAAAAATCTTTTAGTGGTGGGAAACAAGGCAAACAACTATATCAAACAACCTATTAAATGCACAATAATTACAAGGCTTTGTAATTTTAAATTTTCTATCATTTCCTCTTATATTTTTCAAGGCAAGCAATTTTATCTAGACAACTCCTAAGCAAAAAAAAAACCAATATCTTAAAGGAAAAACCCTCATTTTCTCTATCAAAGTATTACCTATATCCAAATTCATAACTCTTGTATTTACATTAATACAAATTTATGTAAGATTTCTTTAAATTTCAAGTGTTGTTTTATTTTCTAGATAATTTGTTTTATATTTTTGCATTTATAAATGTGTTATATGTTTGTTAGATGACTTTGACATTGTTGGACTTGTCTCTACTTTCACATTAGAAATTACATATGTGTACATATATTAGTAAAATATTAAGGTTCAAGACTTATTGGACCGTGAATTAGTACAATGCAATGATGTTTTTATCCTTCATAATATACAATTTATTCTGCCATTCATGATATACGGTTCATTTAACATTATCTCATTAATCAAGGTTAAATTGTTCTTTTCACTTTTTTAGCATAATAAAAAAACATAATTACCTTTAAAAAAGCCTTGCATCAAGGGGCTTCTTAGTCTTTTTATTTTTTTTTCAAAACAGTTAAATGACTAAATTACTCTTAAAAGAAAAAATACTAAACTTATTGATAAGGGCTTTTTTGTCCTTTTGATTATAATTTTTCTTTATTATCACATAGATTGATGTGTGATTTGGTAATTTAATAAATATTTTAAAAAATAATTGACAAGTGCAATTAAGCTTACAAGCTTCGGGCAACACGTGTGGCATTGCTTATTAGCCAAACACTTATTTTATAGGGCGTGTGGGAAAGCGCTTGGCATCTCCTCCATGCCGAGGCAACATGTGTGGTTAACATACCACTAGTTTGACAACAATAATGTGCACCCCTGACACGACGAAAAGATTGATGTTTTCTTCCAAGTGCAGGAGTGTCGAAGTAATAAATAACCCGGCAAGACTGGGGGTCGAACCACAGGGAGGTTAATTGTACAAATTATAAACAACAATTATAAACAACAACAATAGTAATAATAACAACAACAATAATAGTAGTAGCAATAATAATACTAATACTACTACTACTAGTAGTAGTAATAGTAGTACTAGTAATAATAATAATAATAATAATAATAATAATAATAACAATAATAGTAGTAGT